TCCTGAGGCAGAATAAGTTCCAGATTGTCCTCTGGTGACAGAATGAGCAACAGCTCCACCTTCCCATTCCTCATGAAGTGAGAGTTTCTGCGGGGAGGAGAGATCTGTGAACCTTAGAGTCCCATGAGATAGTCCTTGAAAGCAGGATCTGAACATGGATTACAGTTTGGTCTACTTGCAGAGAGAAGCAGAACATAGGTCCTAATCTTGGAAAACTCTCCTCCCACCCAAGTCCGTGAATGTTGAGAGTGAGGCACTCCCACTTACCCATACTTCTTCCACTACCTAGATAAGCAAGGATTCTAAAACTAAAGCCACAGCACCACCATAGGAAAACAGGGCATAGCACATATGAGGGTAATCTAAGTAATAGATGTAGATCCTGAAAAAAAAAGAAGGTAGCAACAGTCAAGATTTATGACAAGAATTGGAAATGACAAAAAAAATTAAGAAAAATCATGAAGAGATTCATGATGTTTTAGATTCTCAATTTACAAGAGAAAGCCAAATTCAGGATATATAAAAGATATCCAGGAGCAGAGAGAATTCTTAATTTAAAAAAATCGAACCATAAAAATAATACAACTGCGGCCCTCCCTGGTGGTGCAGTGGGTTAAAGCACTGCACTGAGAAACTAAAGCCACTTCCTCATGAGTTCGATCCCTGCCTGCCCTGGAGGTGACCACATGGCGCGGCAGACCTCTCCTGACCCGCCCGCTGCTCCCCTTAGCAGTGTACTTCGTCAATCTGCCTGTTCTGCTTCCCGCTCTGTCTCTGGTGAATCTTCTCACCCTCCACATCTCTGGCCTGTACCCCAGTTCTGTATGAATAAATAAATAAATCTTTAAAAAATAATAATACAACTGCAAATTATGTCTATGAGAAATAAAATGAAAGAAATGGCGATGATCATGGAAAATATAGTAAGTGGGCTTAATCTTGCAAGGAATGAAGCAGTGAAGTAGGAAATCAAAAATATACAAATAATGCAAGTGAAAGAGTAGACTAAATTAAGATTTAGAAAAAACTGAAGAAATTCTATGCAAAATATCACTAGAAGAAGAAAGGTGTGTGGGATGCCAGAAGGTTAAGAAAGTAGAAAAATCTACTCAAATAAATAGTGATTGATAACTCCCCAATATAAAAAGAACTAATCATAAATGAACTAAAATCAGACAGAACACCCAAATTTCTAAATGCAAAATAACCTACACCAAGATGCATCATAATGAAATTATCAAAATATAACAATAAATTAAAACTTTTTAATGGTGGAATATAATATAATAAGTGGAAAAGTGTGTGTTTGATCAGACTTTCATCAACTTCTCAGCAGAAACTCTACAGGCTAGAAAAGCATGGAATTACATTCTAAAAAATAAAAATTTCCATCCACAAATCCTTGCAGAAGTAATCTTTTTCAGACAAACAAAAGTTAATAAAATTTACTACTAACAAACCTAACCTCCTGAAATACTAACTTCTATGTGAAAAGTAAACAAACAAAACATAACACCACACCCAGATGATAAATAGCCAATACAGAATTTAAAACACTAATATTAGACAGCAACAAAACATTAAAAGGGAGAAAGAAAAGCACAAAATCACTAGCCAAGTGCAACAAGTTGATATCAGCACACAAAATACTTTTATTAGATAAAGAATATTGGAAACAATCCTATGGTAAATAAAAAATCAAAAGTCTGCAATACATACAATTTGAAGAAGAAAATGAGGAGTTGATTGAATTGTCAATAGAAACAACAGAAAGATTTAACAACCAGATCTTAGTAGAAAAGCTTTAAGTTGTTCATAAATGAGGTAAGTGTGGTTGTGAGTTTGTTATGAGTAACTTTTATTATGCTGTTTCTAGTTATTTGCTATTTTTCAAGCATTTTCATCGTAAATAGATTCTGAATCTTATCAAATGCTTGCTCAGCATCTATTGATAAGATCATATGGTTTTAACTTTCCTTTCTGCAATGTGGTGAATTACCTTGATTTTCATATACTGAACTATCCTTGTGCTCCTGGTATAAATCCCACTTAGCATATAATCCTTTTAATGCATTATTAGATTTGGTCTACTATGATTTTATTGAGAATTTTTGCACTTGTGTTCATTATAGTGATTCAGCACAAAATGGTTATTTATAGGTAAGACCTAAAACCATAAAGTATGTAGAATAAAACATAGAAAAAACACCCCATGAAATAAATTTCAGGAATACCTTTGAGGACTCATCTCAAGCAGTAGAAAACATAAAGGAATATAATAAACTGGGACTACATCAAAATATAAAACTTCTGTATAGAAAATGAGAACATAACCAAAATTAAGAGGCACCCTACTGAATAGGAAAATATAACTGCATATTATCATATGATAGGGAATTGATATCAAATATTTACAAAAAGTTAATATACAAATGAACCTAAACAAACAAAAATGCAATCAAAATATGAGCTAGTCACTTATTAAAATAAAAAGCAGATGACAAACAGAAATGAAGATACTGTAAACATCACTTATCATCAGAGAAACAGAGATCCAAACCATAATAATATACCACTTCATATCTGTGAAAACAGCCCAAATTAGAGAAATAAAACACAAAAACTACTGACAATGATATAGAGAAAAATGAACACTCTTACACACTTAGTGGGAAAGTAGGAAAGCTAAAGAAACACTAAAAATGAATCTGTTATATGTCCCAGAAATTCCATTCCAAGGTATTTACCAATACAACACAAAAACATTAATTTTACAGGAAACCTTCTCTCCTGTGTTTTTTAAAGCACTATTTATAATAGCCAAGATATGGAAACAAACTAAAATTTCCAAAATAGTAAAACATATCAAGAAGTTGTGGTATATACACATGATAGAATAGTACTCAGCAATCAAAAAGGTAAAACCCATGAATAAAGTTGGATGGGATTATGCTAAGTGAAAAAAGTCAGAAAGGGAAATATCAGATGTTGTACATATATGCAAAATATAGAGAAATCAAACAAAAGACCAAACAAACTTTGAAAGTTGAAGATAGGCGTAAGGTATCCAGGATGGGAGAAAATGGGTAGGAATGATGAAGGGTGAAAATACAAGATGGGAGAGCAATTCGAACTATGACTCAGGCTCATCCTTAGAAGGAGGATTTGGTGGTGCAGGAGCAAAGGAGAGAATAGAATCTAATGGAAGAGTACTGGGACTTTGGTGGTGTTTGTAGTCAAATAGCATACAATCATACAGTTATAAACCTAGAACCCTTAGACATACTGTGATGTAAATCAATCAGCATTACCTCAACAAATATAACTTAAAAAAAAAAAGAGAGATAGAGCAAACATAGAAAAAGGAGGTGGTACCTGCTTTTTAGATAATGATACCAGGGACTTTGCTTCCCATAATCACACCTCATATTTGCAGAAAGCCCTACATGTAACTGTAGTGTAATGATTTTGAATTCCTCTATCAAGGAAGCAGATATCCTACATGAATGCTTGTATTCTGTGTTTAGATATCCTATGCCACTTTGGCTGTGAAATTGTAGTACATGTGGAAAAACCTTTTTACTATATGAACCTTTACAATACTTGTGAAAAGAGTTCAATATGGTTTACGCACAATGTAGTATTTCTCCAGATATCATCCCAAATTCCCCACAAGTAAGGCTTTTGTCCTCATTTCTCACATACAGTGTTTGGCTCAGTTTAACCCTCTGGGGCTGAACTATTAAATTCCTGCCAGGATTTTACATTGATACTTTCACTTTCTCTAACATATTCCCTACTCAAGTTATTTAAATCAATTTCTGCTTCATACAATTTTTATTTGCAAAAAATAATAACAGTTTTTCTTCCTATGTAGAGTTCTCTTAAGAAAATGATTGCAGTTACCCATGTTGTATATCACCATTTTAACAGTATTGCTTCATGAATGAGTACTCCTTTTTGATTTTGTCCTATACCCAACCATGTTGTTCTCCCTCAACAACATGGGGAATTCTTTAATATGACATTAATTGCAAGTAGCAATTATAGTGGTAAAGTTTATACCAATGCCATTAGATGAGTATTATGCACTTCACTGTGAAACAAAACCTTATTTTAAGTTAATAAAAACAGTCATATCAATTAAAAAGCAAAGACTAGTCTACATATGTGACTTTAAAATTAACTCCTTAATTTTAGTCAATTGGAAAAAATCTCTTCAGTGTCCAATTAATGTTTTTTCACAGACCCTAAGGATTGAGAGATAAAATCTAAATAAAACAAAAAATTGTAGTTCAGTAATATGAACTACATAACATGACTTTTCCATATTGAGGACTTCACATTTCACATAGAAATTCTGACAGATGAATCTAAATTTTAAAGGATTTCAAACTTATTTTTTGAAGCCAGTATTATGATGTCAAACACTGAAAAGTAAACAGATTTAGATATGAGAGGTGTGGGTTGTAATAATAATGCCACTTATTTTGAATCTTGAGCAGGTCAATTAATTAACATTGGGTTTGGTTTTATTATTTGTACTAGATAAAAGACTAGATCTCTTCTTCTGAATTTCCTGTATCAGTTAAATACACATGAATGTTTCATAAATTAAAAATGATAACAATTATGAATTACTATCAATGAAATGCTTACTTTGCATCAAGTTTTAGTCTTTTTTATTTAATACCCAAATCCACATACCAGAATTATCTTCATTTCAGAGGTTTGGAGACATTGAACTCAGGATGTTAATTGTCCAATGGCATTAACTTAATCAATGCAGAAGCTAGATCCCAGCTGAGTTCTGACAGTATTCCTGTGTTCATCCCAACTCAACCATACACACTGATTTTTATGCAAATGATGACAGACTACTCAGTTATTCAAGCTTCATGATAAAACTTAAAATAATTGTTTAACTATCATATAATGAGATTTTAAGTTTCTATTTGAACCATAATCATCAGTGATTCAATATGGAAGTAGTATTACTTACAGTTGTTCCAAGGATATAAGTCCTTTGAATGTTTGCTTATCTAGTGAGTGAATTTCGTTCTTGTGCAGATACCTGGAAACATAAAATTCTATTAGGTTATAATGCTTAATATACAATATTAAATTATTACAGATATAGACATATTTGATTTGAACTTTTTGCATTGGAGAATACTAAAAGAATACCTCAGAAAACTTTATTTCATTTAAATATGTTCATTTGTCTATGTAAGAGAGTTCCAAGTATCTCATTAGATTCTGAAAGGAATCTTTGATCTAAAATATTAAGAATCTCTGCCTTAGTCTCTAAAACTTAGAGTGGTTGTGGGGAAATTCTCATCCTGATTAATGAGGTCATATGTAGTGGATAGTGACTTTTCAAAAAGAAGAAAGCAAACATTCTAGTATAACAATTTTTAAATATATTCTATCATATTGAATATATTACACTTAGACTTATATTTAGAAAGCTGAAAAATGTCACCACAGAAATCATCGTAAGAAGATAAAAATGTACTGATAGGTCTACAAGATGTGTTTTGGTTTTCTGATGGCTGCTGTTGAAATCAACAAGAAAGAACGCTGTAAATTGATTTATAAATATGGTACTATAACTAATCCAACCAAAATATTTGAAACATCTTGTATAACATGTGAACATTTTCTTTGTCTTTTTATCTTTAACCATAGGAGGGAAATATTTTTTTAATTTAAATATCCCTGTTTTTTTGGTGAGTATCATAAAATTGAAAATGTAGATTTTTTTCCCAACTTGTGCCCTCTGGGGATGTGTGGCAATCAGAATTCCTGAAACTTTCTATGAAGTCCCTTTTGGATGTGCCTTTGGCTAGGTCACACTTCATAGAAAATATATATAATTCAGAATACCTGCTGATTGAATCCACCAGTTCCTGATTCTGTCCAAAAACTTATTTACTTCAGTTTTCTTAGAGTAAAATCTAAGAAACTGCATATGCTTCCCTGGTATTTCTGATAAATTCCACATGTAGATGACTTAGAAACCACAGGAATAAAATTTCTTTATGAATAAAAAAAGGACTGTTTTTTTAAAATTTGTTTAGTGAAGCTTTAAAAGTTCCAAATTAATTTTTCTTCCCCTAGATTACAATTCCTGTAAGTTTATCAGAACAGAATTATCTGGTGAGGATTTAAGCTAAAATGGAGATTTTTTTCACTAACATTATATGATACCATAGCAGATCTTGCTTTCAAACAAAAGGCTCAAAAATATAGCTACATGTTAACTAGTATAGGATCAATATCCTTGAAAGGGTCAGGTAGGAATTTTTTTTCAGAATGCCCAGAGAAGGTCTCTTCCAATAAGTGTCATTTTGAAATGGAGAACTAAAGGTCAATTAAGGTGTTGTGAGCCTTGGAGATATATTGCTATTACCTAAGGAATCCACATTGTTTTGAGTTGAGCACAATGAGGGCCCTGCAAGTTCAAAAGTCTATCCTGTCTATCCTTGCCTAAGTCCTATGATCTTCCTGCAATATTTTTAAGCTATAATAATACCTTGAGGAATAAAGATATTAACTCAATTTCTATATAAATGTGAAAAGCTTTTAATATTTCTTTTTGAAAAGAAAAGTTAAAAATTTAGTTTCTGTACTCAGATATACACAGTGATTAAATGAGTAGAGTATAATGTAAAACATATTACTACTTATATTAGCATAAGCAAGAAAACTATCAATTGTCAATGGGATCAAGTTTAATACCTGAATTCAAATCCTTCCCACACATCTTTGAAAATCATACATCATCACTAATAGGAAAAACAAATCAATCAGAACACTATCTATGCATGATTAGGAGAAAACTATAATTACTTCAAATTTCATTAAAGTTGGAGAAATTAGAAACAGCCACATTAGTTAGATAATCCAATTTTCAGTGAAGAAGGAAACAGGATTACATAAAAATAGGGTGGGGTAGAATGGACAGGAAAAAATTAAAGTACTACAATGACTAGCATCTGTACTGAAAAATGGTGGCAGAGTAAAGACACCGAGATGACCACGTCCAAGCTTGCACGGAAATATATAAAAATGGACTATAGATATACATGCTAAGAGTTTCAACCCAAATGAGAAAACCCTGGACTCAGTAGAATGAAGAAAACTGAGGGAGATTGGCTATTGGGGAGTTCGGATAAGGGAACTACTATCCAGAGGCATCACAAACAGGATAAGTGGAACACTGCAACTCCGATCAATCTCTATCAGGGAACATTCAGGCTCTAGCTGCAGATGGAGGCTTCTTGCTCATTCAGTTAGATGAGTAGAACCAAGCTTGGGGGGAGGTGGGAGGGAGAAGACTGCACAAATGGGCACATAAAGCTCAGGGGTGGGGATCTGGTGACTGAGCAATTCTTTCATCCACCACCATAATATGGGCCTGGGAAAAAAACAAACAAACAAACAAACAAAAAAAAACAGGTAACTGAATCAAAACAGGCCCAACAGGCCCATTAACAATCCCCCAAGTGGTACCCAAGTGGTAGGGAAAGACTGCTCAGGGAGAGACAGCTCTGAGTGGGCACAAAGAGCTTTGCAGGCCTAGTTGGAGGTCTGGCAGACTGTGGGGGGTATGCAGAATTAGGACTCAAGGCGTTACTAAACAGCAGTGGCCGGAAGACTGTGAGCCAGTAAGGCACTGCCTTGCAAGACTCACAGTGCTCAAAAAATAAACAAAACCAGTGATTGGCTCAACCACAGGCCCAGCTCAGCACTTCAAATGCACCCCACCACCCGGGGCTACATCCAAGCATAGAGGGAACCTGGGACATCAGAAGGCTACAAAGATCAACAGGCACGTTCCAGAGAAATGGACTCAAGAAGTTACCAGAAGACTGAATGCAACAAGAGAACCCTTAGCATCAATGGTAGATTCAAAAGATTCCACACAGTAGGGGCTGAAAAACCAGGAGATATTGAAAGAAAACAAGGCTCAGAATACCCTCCACAATTAAAGTGTCTGGAAGTTCCTCTGACATCCCAAAAAGAACATCCAGAAAGATGCCAGTCAATAATAGCAACATCATGTCTTAACGAATAGGAAGTATTAGAAAAAACATGACAGGGAAAAAAAGACAAACAAATATTCAAGCAAGTCCACAGGGGGAAAATTCACCACAAAAAGATCAGTCAGCAGAAACCATCAAAGAAATAGAAGAACTGCTCAGACAACCAGTTAGAGAATTCAGAATCATCATGATAAACAAACAAAAAGAATATGAGAAGGGAAAAAAAAATGAAATGAAGGAAACCATCAAGAGTTGAAGAATGCAAACAAGGAAATGAATGAAAGAAATGTAAAAATATGAGACAAGTAATCAACGAATAGAAGAAAGAAAATGAGACATTTAAAAAAGGAAATAAAAGAATTGTAGGCCATGAAAAGGCAACTAAAGAATGCTGGGGAAAGTGAAGAAAACAGAATAGATGAAATGGGAGAAAGAATCAGCACCCTTGAAAACAAGGAAACAAAGAAAAATAAAAAAGAAAAAGAAAGGAGTCAAAAGGAAAAGGAATGAAGAAACACTTCAAGAGCTAGCTAGCATCACTAGGAAATATCAGAGTTATAGGTATCCCAGAAGGTGAAGAGAAAGGCCAAGGAATCAAGAAAATATTTACAGAAGTAAGAAAAGAGAAATTCCCTAAAATGAAGGAGATGAAAGTAGACATCCAAGAAGCAAGAAGAACACCAAAATACCATGATGACAGGAGAAATACAGCAAGACACAATATAATAAAACTTCCAAGAATACAAGATAAGGAAAAATAACAAGAATGACAACAGGGAAGAAACAAATAACCTATCAAGGGAAACAGATCTGGATGACATCAGACTTCTCCAAAGAAACACTATGGGCAAAAAGAGAATGGAGGTACATACTCAACAAACTCCAAAGCATTAAATGCCAACCAAGAATGTTCTATCCTGTGAAGCTCTCCTTCCTCTATGAAGAAAGAATAAGGACATTTTCAGACAAACAGAAAGTCCACAATTTCGTCATGACTAAATCCCCACTCCAAAAAATACTATAAGAAACCCTCAAACCAAATCCAACAGAAGAATGAACAAGAACAGTTCAAAACAAGGAATAAAAATACAAAAGGACTAAAATAGCAAATGTAGGTGTCAATATATCAATATTATCTCTAAATGCAAATGGCTTAAACTCATCAATAAAAAGACACAGAGTTGCAAGATGGGTTAAAAAAACAGAACCCAACGTTCTGCTGTCTGCAGGAAACACAACTAAAAGCAAAAGATAAAAACAGATTGAAAATAAAAGGATGGAAAACAGTTCCATAAGCAAATGGACCAAAAAAGAAGGCAGGAACAGCTATACTTATATGAGGTAAAATAGACTTCAAACTAAAAAGGGTTAAAAGAGACACAGCAGGACAATACATTATGATTAAGGGGACAATACAACAAGAACACAAAATAATCATCAACATATACGCACCAAATGAAGGAGCACCAAAATATATCAGGAAACTACTGTCATCTATGAAAACATATATCAGGGAAAATATGTACATAAGAAAATATGTACATAGTAGGAGACATCAACATGCCACTCTCCACAATGGACAGATCAACAAGATAAAAAATAAGCAAAGACACTAAAGCTCTGAACAAGGACCTGGACAACATGGGTCTAACAGACATCTATAGAATACTGCACCCCCAGAAATCTGAGTACACATTTTTCTCATATCCACATGGATCATTCTCTAGGATTGACCACATACAGGGTCACAAGATAAATGTCAATAGATACACTAAGATCAAAATCATACCAACAATTTTCTCTGACCATGAAGGAATCAAACTAGAAATAAACCATATGAGGAAAACAAGAAACCCACCTACCACGTGGAAACTGAAACCCACACTACTAGAGGACCATTGGATCAATAAGGAAATCAATGAAGAAATCAAAAAATACCTGGAGAAGAACGACAATGACGACACAGATCTCCAAAACTTATGGGACACATTAAAAGCAGTTATAAAAGGAAAATATTACAGCA